GTTAACCTTATGATTTTTCATATTTAAAGGGAATTAAAGAATGTTATTAGCTGTTTCAATTAAACAAGTTGGTTCTGTTCTATGATGTTCAATAGCTTTAAAGTTACAAGGATGGCCAACAGAGTGCAGCACTATTATTATTTTTTTAAATTTATAACAACAGCTAATTTGCAACCAAAAGGTGAGTGAGCGTAGCGAACGAACTTCAACCTGGAGGCGAGTTAGCGTAGCGAACGAGCTAACCTGAAGGCAAGTGAGTGCAGCGAACGAGCTCCAAGCTAAAGGTGAGTGAGCGTAGCGAACGCACTTCAACCAGGACGTGATTGAGCCATGCGAACGAGCTCATCTTGAAAATTAAGAAGTTAAACGGGGCAAAGCCCGCGGGTACAGCTAGTATATTTATATATTAAAAATCAAAAACATATTTAACAAAGTACCCTTTTAATAATTATTTTATTTTTATTAATTTTAAAATAAAATAATTACTAAAAGGGTACTTTGTTAAATATGTTTTTGATTTTTATTATATTAGTAGCCCTAAATATGCAAGAAAATAATATTTATATATATAATATGTATATATATATACCTGTCCGTTAGCGCGATAACTCGAGGAAAAATGATCCGATTTTGATGAAATTTGGTACAAACGTGTAAACCTACGTTTATTCGAACGAGTTCGCGAACCAGCATAATCGGACCATGGGAACGGGGGTTTATGGGGGGTTTTATGGGGTAAAAATGGGTTTTTCCCATTTTTGACCCAAAAAACATAAAATTTTGCAATTTCTACCCAAACTATTTTGTAGAGCTTAAAAAAACAAATAATTTAGTATCTTGAAGCGTTATAATGCACCTAATGGTTACGGAGAAAATTTCAAAAAATTGCAAATTTAAATTCCCATGTTATTCTTATGGAGAATAAGTAAACTGTTGTAGTTTGCTTGTTTATTAACATATTTTGCCCAAATTTGGAAAATGTTTTTATTTCTTACTAACTATTAACTTTTTACATAAAAAAAAAACACTTTTACCCTGTAGGAGACATTTTAGTGTAAATCCAATCAGGCAAATGGAAATTCGCTTAGTCTGCAAGTTTGCTGCGGCGGGGGTATTTACTATAGCCTACCAATGTGCCCGTAGTGTAGTTCATTGAGAAGTTTTTTCTTGAGAGAATTTGGGATGATTACTTTCCACCCTTTGAAGAGGCATCCTTCATGTAATGTAACTTAATTATCGTGAAATCCCAATGGCTCTAATGATTGACCTCCTCAAGAGCCTCCACAATTTGTTTTAGATATGCGTCCTTCTTAGTTTCTTCGGCCAGTTCTTTGCGATTGAAAGTTATTGTGTTCAATTGGTTTGTTTGAAAATGTCCAAACTGGTCAATACTTGTGAATTTTGAATCTTCCACGGGAAATCTTGAGAGGAAATCTGCATTGCCATGGTCACCAGTTCCCTTGAATTCAATTGTGTAGTTAAATCCTGATAAAAAATGGGAGTAGTTGAATAGTCGCGTAGCTGACATTGACGATAGGCTCTTGTTGGGATTGAAGATTGACACTAATGGTTTATGGTCCGTGATGAGTGTAAAATGACGTCCGTAGCAATAAGAAAAAAATTTCTTCAACCATCAGTAAATATACCTGTGGCTTCTTTATCGATTTGGCTGTAATGTTTTTCAGCATTGGTCAATGATATTGAAGCAAAAGCTATAGGTTTTTCACTTCCATCTGGGAAACGATGTGATATCACTGCTCCAAGTCCCACTGGTGAAGCGTCAGTTGCAAGGATCAATGGCAGGTCTGGTTTAAAGTGACAAAGAACTCTGTCACTTGTTATTCTTTTCTTTATGTTTTGGAAACCTTCTTCACACTTACTGTCTCATATGAATGACTACCATAAACTTGTCATTACCGGCACTCTGGTTGTGTATCTTAAAAACCTCTTGTTTATCTTCCTTATGATAGTCTATAGTATTGTCAGTTTCGGTACAATGAATTTCTGTTTGTTTTGTGCCTAAACATACGCTAGCAATATGCCCTTGTTTGTAGCATTTCTTACATATTTCTCTGATAAATTTACACTGATGTGTCCTGTGTCTAGGTGGTCCACAAGGATAGCATTTACGATAGCATTTACCTTTGAGGCGTTCAAATGGAAACTTCAACTTTTTGTTCCAAAGTAGGAGAAAAATGGGGTGGTTTTGTTTCTTTACCTGTTATCTTGTTGATTTTCTCATTTGAATGAATGTTTTCTTCTACTAGGTACCTATATGGCTTTCGTTCTTTGCCAATTCCATGATGGAGGCAAGTTTCACTACATCTTGAAACGATGCAGCAGATCTTTCTTGTAATAATTTTGTTCTTATGTCTGAATTGCTAATACCTCTTATAAACTGTTTGCGTAGTAAGTTCATGTGTTTGCAATTGATTTCCCACAATTATTACAGTTGAAGTCACAGTCTGAAGATAACTTTTGAAGCTCAACGGAATATATTTTTACGGTTTCTTCAGATTCTTGTGTTCTTGTCATAAATTTGTGTTGTAAGACCCAAGTACTAGGTTTAGGATCAACATAATCAGCCAAAAGACTTACTAATTCAGCATATGTTTTATCCAAAGGACTTTCAGGAGCGCACAAATCATGCAGCTTCTGATGTAAATGTGGCGTTAAGGCATGTAGCATTGTATACACTTGATCCTTTGGTTCCATTTCTTGGCTATGTAGATATAGAAATATCTCAAATCGACGAATGAAGTTCTTGAATGATTCATTTTCCTGATATGGTGGGAAATCATTGAAGAAGTAGTGGATCGACGTTGTAGAGGAGACAAATTTGATGTACTAGGCACAATATTTTGAATGTTCACTTGTAGTTGTGCAAGCTGTCCCATACGTTTTTGTAACTCATCCATTACCTTGTAATATTTGTCCTCCATTTCTACTCTGTAATCTATTTCTTTCTCGATTTCAACTTCTTCAGTTTTCTCTTCTATTAATTGTTGTACAGAATTAAATCTTTCCCAATACTCATTGTTGCTATCCTGGTTTTGATTACTTCTTTTGACATGTTTTGTAGGTTTGCTAGCCATCTTTCAGCCTTAGACAACTGACCCTTCACTACTACTCTAATCTTCTTTAAATCAGTCAAACTTTCAGTGTTATTTAGGTCAATCATATAAAAAAATAAATTTTAATAAATAGAATATAAAAAAATTGAAAACTGGTTTTCCTCGTCGCCAAACTGTTGCATATTAAATAAAAGATGTGTAAAATAAAATAGGTGTATTCTGAAATGAATCCTAAATAACAATGATTGTAAACAAAAACAAAGTTAACTTATTAAACATAACATATGGTATTTTTTTTAACATACAGTATGTTAGAAAATACACATCATGCGTGTTGTAGTTGCTTAAGCATATTTAATAGCTTAGAAACCTCAGAATTCATGGAAGATTATCGCTCTCATTTATGTTCGGGGGACATACGGACTAATACAAAAAGAAAAAATATTATATTAATTGAGATTATATTAAATCAATAGGTGTGGACAGCTAAAACGCATGCCTCATGGGGCGTGCATTTGTTAATGCATGTTAAATTGAATGTTAAATTTAAAGCTGAAAGGCACGTTGAAATTGAAAGCGCACAAGTGTGGATATAGCTATTGGTAATGTCTGCAGCTAAAGCATACCTCTCAAATTGTTTAATCCATGTACCCCAACGCTGTGCTACACATGCAGGATTTGTGTGTTGGTAAAAAAAATCAGGCTTATTGAGATCCATTATCCAATTATCCCTGTTGCCAGTTTAGTAAATCGAAACATAATTAATAAAACTGGATATTCATTCAACTTACAATTCAGATTAAGCTAAAAAAATAAACAGAAACATAGTATGAATAGTCATCTGACAGATGTTATAATAACACATATGACTTATTTATTTATACATAACAGGTACAAATCGAATTAAAGGGCTTTTCCCTATGTCAATTTAAATTTTTAGAAATTGAACTTGGGCCTTTTGGATTATTTGTCACTATGACATTATTTGCAAGATAACAATAATAACGTAAACAAAAGATTAACAACATTGCTAGCTAGTCAACGAATCATCTAAACTAGCACATTACAAATACAGAACAAAGGGGAAGAACAATCGGATTCGTTCCGTTGAGCATAATTTGCTTCAAAATGAATAACTAATTAGGGTCACCGGAATCATGCTAATGCACCAATGATTGTAGATGCTAGCCATTCCATTTATGCAAAGCAAATATACCATTAACTTTGGATACTGCAAGTAGACATTCCATTTACGTGAACCAGACGCACTATTGAATTTGGATACTGCAAATAGACATTTCATTTAGGTATGTGAACCAAAGATACCATTGATTTTAGATACTGTAAGGAAACATCTTATTTACGTTAACCAAATGTAGCATTGACTTTGGAAAAGTATTGGATTATATGCTAGCCTCGCTACACTAAATATTGCAAGCAGACAACTGCATCTGTGTACACCTAACACCTAGTATATTGATATATCCCACTCAAAGTGAGTGGAGGGCAATTTCCTTCACAGCCAATCTTCAACACCGGTGAGGTGTTTGGAAAAAATTAAGTTAAATCTTGCATAACTATAGATGTCACATATATGAAGTTTGAAGGATATAGTACAACAAGTAACCAACATTGAGACAGATCATTTAGTCAATAATTTATTGAGATTATATTTGAGGGGAAAGCCAAATGGCTGGTTTGGAACTTTTTTTAAATGTATAGGAGTTCAACCATACCTGAGAGAGAAAATTAGATTTCATGGGCTAATAGATATACAATAAAAGGTCACAAAACCTAACACTGATATTTCGTTCCAATCCAATAGAGAACGTCTTCAAAGAGTAGGTTAAAGTAAAATTGAACTCAGTTCCTTTTCAAAAAATTCTCAATAGTTTACCAATTAATTTGTAAATTACTTGTACATAGTAGAGGGGAGTCGCCGGCCGCAGTTTCTATGAATCAACACATGGATGTGACTGTTCCTGCAGCCTCCACCCCTCTCCTTCCCACCACCTCTGTCAACCGCAGCTGTCAAGTCACCCCCTTGCCTGAGTCTCCCCCTCCACCTTACAGCGAGAACCACATCACCACGCCAGCACACTCCTTGAGACCAGGTAACAGTCAGCAGTACATTTTAATGTCAGTTTTCGGTACCAGAGCTTTCCCTAGAAACAGAGGTAGGCCTATCAAGGACCATACCACTGGTCAGATGGATGGTAAGAAAAGTATAGTCTTTAAACAAAATTTGTGTGGCCTGAATTCCGCATCAAGTGCAACAACTGAAGTACTTAATAAGTACCTTCAAATGGTGATATATTTGATATTTTTCTATAAAACGAGTAAGGCATTAACACACTGTCATCCAGCAAACAATCTGCATCTTTGCAATTGGATGTTGTAAAATACTGAAGCGAAAGGTTAAATAGTAATAGAAGACATCCCATATATATGGATCAGCTGTCACCAATTTTTTACTAAAAAAGAATGTAGTTATGTGAGCCAGTCACAGATTGCGCTAGTGTCTAAAACTCTATTTTGTACCTTATTTTGTGTTACTGACATAGTTGCTGGGTCACAACAGTTGCTATAGCTCATAATAAGTCATTCCATCAGTTTGACTTGGTAAAAACCATCATGTAATTGGCTGAAATCATTAATTTAGATCAGCGAAATCTGTAGGCCAAATTTTATTAAAAACCTGGCTACAATTTTAACATGGGGATGGAATGTCTGAACAGTGAGTTTTGCAAAAAATCAATTTTGTGCCCACTAAACAAAGCTTACACCTACTATATTTTGAAATAAAATAACATACAGTAATACTTAAACAATTTTCTAATGAAGAAAGGGTTCTTTAATCTGGGTTTTCCTAGGCGCGAGAGCGGTTTGGGGAGAGCGGAGTCCACTCTCCTTTGGGCTTAGGTAATTTAATGGTAGGCCTATTGTTTTCCTAGAAGCGGAGCAGACCGCAGGGGTCGAGCAAAAACCGCTTCTCCGCTTTCGGTTTCCTAGTCGCTGAGGAGAGCAGAATAGTATACGTCAAAGTTACGTGGTACCAGTAATGATTTAGTCAGTAAATCAACCATGGTTTCCAATTACTGTAATTGTATCTGATTCTAGATGAAACTGTAGAAGTTTTGAACTGGGAAGAGCAAACTCTAAGAGCATTCTCCAACACTGGACACAGCAATGTTACGCCTTCCACGATACTGACCATTGAAGCTGAGCCCTCTCAGGCTCATGTGGATGAACACAGTCTTATAAGTATTGACTGTAACTTATATGAAAGTAACAACTATGACAACTCCATCCCTCCAACAATCAACAACTCAGTAAGTAGACAAGAAATTTAAAGCAGTGTTTTTGGAGCATTTTAAAAAGCCGTTGTTGCGTACTATAGGTGGGCTGCATAGAAAACAACCTTTTTAGCGCATGTAGGTGAGGTAAGGACGAGGAAGGGTATATGTTACACTTTATCAGTTACACTTGTCCGATTCAGTCCGGTCCGCCCCGAATTTGTGAGGGGTGGCGGGTTGCTACATTTGTACGATTCGTTTCGGTCCGGCCGGGAGAGTTGGCTACACTTGTACGATATTCTATATTGTGCGAGCTCTAGTTCCGACGAAGAAATCCTCCTCGTATGCCTACACGAAGAGATGTACATGTAATGTAAAGCATAAGATGATGATTACACTAAAAGTAGTTTTTTTAATCTCCCATCCATAGTGAAAGTCAAAAACATCTACCTTAAAAACAAAGTTTATACAAGCAGTTTCAACACAACCAGTATGGTTGTCGTTACTTTACAACTGCTATGGTGGAGTTAAACTGACCCAGTGATCTTTCTTATGTTTTTAATTTATTTAATGCTTAGGCCTATATCCTTAAAATAACTTTTTTTCATATAATATATCACTTTCCCAACTACCTTGGAAATGATTTCATAACAATGAATATGTTCATATTTTAAAATACATAATACAATCTATTTTGGTCAAGGCCGTTTTTCTCCAAAATTGCCTTTCCTTTGACATATATATTTAGCTGTGTAATTTTATTTAAAAAAAAATACATGGTTAGCACGTTTTGCAGTTTGCAGTAGTTTTCATTTTACCTACTTTGCTCACGGAACCCCCTATCCTCATCCGAATTTCGGAAGTAGGTAGCTACACTTGTCCGATCCGCCCCGAATGCTTCCGCCAAAATGCGGAAGAATGCTCCCTGGAGGATTGTTCCCAACCGAATCGGTTCTGAGTGGAGCGGACAAGTGTAGCCGCCTCCATTTAAAAACATGGGAAACATTGTTCCGCATTTTTGAGGACTGGACCGAACCGGACCGAATCGGGCGAGTGTAGTCACTGCTTAAGAGGTTCCAAGTCTAAACATTGGCTTCCCAAAGGATTATTTTTAGTTTTTCAATAATAACCATGTTTTAAAACGTAATACAGAAATTTCTCAATTACCTGTTGTTGATTCCACTAATTTTACTAATAAAAGTTCACCACTTGGACGAATCATTGACATATTCCCGCGCTTGCACTTTATCTCCAACTTTGAAATTCCTTTTTATACCGACTTGGACTCCCTTCTTCTGATATTTGTTCGGTTCTAATGTTGGAACAATTATTGCAAGGTTTGTTCGTACACTCCTTCCAAACATTAGGTGGTATGCTGATGTACCAGTTGAATTCGGAGATTGCCTGAGTTGCATTAAGAGTCTTTGTATTTTATTTTGCAGTGTCCTTTTCTCCCTCCATGGATTTTGACGCCTTCTTGACAGTCTGTACGTATCTTTCAGCCTGGCCGTTTGAGTTTGGATGGTATGGTGCCGTTGTTCTGTGAATAATCCCACATTCATTCATGAAGATTTTGAACTCTTGAGAAACAAACTGTCTTCCATTATCTGAAACTAGATGTGAGGAAACCCAAAAGTTGAGAAGATTTTCCGTAATTCTAGGACTGTCCATGTACTTGTAGTTGTTTTTGTCTCTATCACCTCCACCCACTTACTAAAGGCATACACTAATATCAGGTACTGTTGGCCATCTGTTGGTCCTAAGAAACCAATGTGCACCCTCTCCCATGGATTAGAAGGCTGTTCCCATGGATAGATAGTTTTTCTCGGGTTGTTGCATTTTTCAATGCATTGTCGAAATTCAGCTACCATCCAATAGCTTTAATTATTATTATTGCAATAATAATTGACAAGCAATATCCTTGTCTATACATTTCCACCAGCAAAAACTGTGAGCTAAAGCCTTCATTTTTATTCCTCCTAAATGAGCTACGTGTAGTTCTGGAAGCACACGAGGTCTGAGAGATTGAGGTATCATGACTCTCCAGCCCTTCAGTACACAATCATCTTGAATGGACAGCTCGTTATCGTGAAATCCGTATTGTTCAACAGATTGTCCCGATTTTAAGGCCTGTATGACTGGACCCAAAACAGCATCGTTAAGAGTTTCCTTAGCCACCACGGTACTGTTGATATTGAGTGTTTCCAGTTGATTTATGTGGTACTTCGAGAGATCATCTACAGAATGTTCTTGAACAACTTTGATAGGGAAATGTGAAAGATAATCTGCATTGCAATGATGAGCGGTTTGCCTGTACTCAATGTCCTATGTCATGTCATAGTCAAACCCGGAGAGAAAGTGAGCATAGTTGAATATCCATGAATTCAATGAATGTATGTCAGCTGCATCAAGTTGAATCTCCCTCATCCATTCTCTTCCGAATATAGAGTCTACACACTTGTTACAGGCCGGACCATAGTTCTAGGCGTCTCGCTGACGCATGCGTAATAACGAATTTGCATTTAATCATATGTTAGCCCAAGTTTTGACAGATGGGGAATTAACACAGCAAATTAATGCGCATGCGTCCGCCAGACGCCTAGAACTTTGGTCCGGCCTGTAACAATGTACAGTTTTCCAACAAAACTTTGATCTTTATACTGAACATTTACAAAAACAACTCCTCTTGGATTGATTATTTCCCCAGTGTATGTCTTGAGTTGAACATTTGTCTTGAAAATCCTTTTTGGAGAGTTTAAAAGCCTAAATGTATCATATGATACAATGTTAAGAGCTGCTACTGTATCTAATTCCATTGTCATGAGTCGTCCTTCCACTTTTACCTCGAGCATAAACTTGTCATTTGATTTTGAATTAAGTTGATAAATTTCATGAGTGTCATCGCTTGCATTTTCTGCGGTTTCATCAGATTGTTTTACTTCTTTGTTTGGTTTTCTTAGACATACTCTTACTAAGTGACCAAAAAGTTTACAAGAGTTGCATTCTGCATTTTTGAACTTACATTGATGTGCTCTATGTGAATCATCACCACATCTATAGCATTTGTTCCTCAGTTTCTCCAAACGAGATTGATACTCAGACAGTTGTTTACTTGACTTACTATCTGGTTGTTTGTTCTTGCTCGATACTTGGTGTACTTCCTCTTGATTTTCATTCGTCTTTAGTATTCTGCTCTCACTTTTAGCTAGTTCCAATGTAGCAGCCTTTTCGACTACTTCTTTAAACGGTTGTAATAGTTTATCTTGAAGAAGTTGAAGACGTATATCAGAGTCTTTTAGTCCCCTGACAAACTGCATTCGAAGTAGAATTTCAGACACGGATTCATTACAACTTGTACAAGTAAACTGACATTCTACACTGAGCTTTCTAAGAGCATTAGCATAAGCTTGTACAGATTCATTACATAATTGGATACGTGTCATAACTTTGTGCTGACGAGCCCAAATACTGGGTCTTGGTTCTAGTTGAGCTATTAACATGTGAATCAATTCCTCATATGGCTTGTTATGTGGGTCATCTGGTATGCAAAGATCATATAGCTGTTGATGTATTTGTGGGGTGATTGCCTGTACAAATAAATCCACTTTGACTTTTGGACTTCAGTTTCCCCGTAATTTTGTGTAGTTTTTAAAGCGTCGAGTGAAGTTTTGAAAACTTTCCTCTGGTGTATACGGCTGGAAAGGAATATTAGATACATTTTGAGATGTTGCAGATTAGACATTGCTGCATGTGTAATGTACTTTTTCTTTTCTGCTTCAAGGAATATTCGTATCTCTCTATATATTTCTTCTAACTGCCATCGAATTTCTAATTCACATTCTACTGAATCTGTGAGAAGTTCAATATTTGACTGCATAACTTCAATTTCAGTCCATATTGCTAAAAGTTTATCTGAGTAGTAAGTGCATGTATCTTGAGAATGTTCACATATAGGTAAATCACCCTTGAGTTTGTTTAAGCGTAGTTCTAGTAGTTTCCTTTCCTTTGGACATAGGTCAAATTCTTTTCTACTTACCATTTTACTCGTCGCCATTGTTGATTCCACTAATTTTACTAATAAAAGTTCACATTTTGTATAAGAAAATAGAAAGTTAGTATTTATTAAATCACAATCTGTAAGTAAACAAACAATTCAACAAGTAAACAAAATAATAATTTGAACCATGTTATAAATAAAATGTAAATAACACATATGTAACACCTGTAAAATAATATCAGTAAGTAATGTAATTTTCGTGTTCTACATTAAATTTTGAATAAGAATTATAGAAAACTATGGAGGATCAATAGTAAAAACTCCATTGTAAATGGATTCAAAGATAAAAATTAAGGTGTTTGATAAACATTTAAAAAACTTTGGTCAAAAATCCGACGGAAGTCTTCATCATTATACAAATACAGGTCAACACATATAGTTTATTAGTTAAAAACACAAATTACGAAACATTTAGGACGATAGGCCGGCCATATTTGATATTTAACACGGGATAAACCGACGCAGGTTACATGGCGGACACGACAGAACTCAATGTTTTTAGCGAATTTCCCTATAGGGAAGTAGCTATTAACGTAGGTCTCATGGTAAGACCTAGGCCCGGGACCGATTTACTTTTTCATTTTGATGTCCCCAGAGGCCAAAAACACCATTCGTTCAAATTTATATATATATATATATTTGTGTCCATCCGCACAATAACTTGAGTGATTTTTGTCCGATTTTGATAAAATTTGGTTTGAAGGTGTAAGGCAGGATAAACTTGAATGAGTTCGCGAACCAGCATGATCGGACTATGGGAATGGGGGCTTATGGGGGGTTTTATGGGGTAAAAAGAGGTTTTTCCCATTTTTGACCCTAAAAACACAAAATTTCACAATTTCTTTCTAAACCATTTTGTAGAGCTTAAAAAAACAATTAATTTAGTATATTGAAGCGTTATTATGCGCCTAATTGCTACGGATAAAATTCAAAAAAATTTTCATTTTAAAATTTCCATGTTATTCTTATGGAGAATAAGTCAACTGTTGTAGTTTGCTTGTTTATGAACATATTTTGATAAAATTTGGAAAATAAATTAATTTCTTACTAAACTACAGTACCTTTTAACATTTTACATTTTAAAAAACTTTTTTACCCTGCCTGTTGCAGCAAACCTAAGTACTCGTTAAACTAATTCTGTTTAAATAGGGAACAAATGTGATATTTTTAAGGAGACATTTTAGTGTAAATCCAATCAGGCAAATGGAAATTTGCTAAGTCTGCAGGTTTGCTGCGGCGGGGGTATTTAAATAATAAACTATATGTGTTGACCTGTATTTATATAGTGATGAAGACTTCCATCGGATTTTTGACCATCTTCTACACGATGTTTTAAAGGATTTGATAGTGGGTCTTTGTACCCGAAACTAGTCATCCATAGACTAAAACAAGACTGATGACGGACCAAGGTACGTAACCTATTATATATTCGAATATCAGTCTTGGTGGCAAAAATGTTTAAATAAGAAGGTGGGCAAATGTGATAAAAACTGTGCCATTTATAAGATTTTCAACCATATGCTACACTATTGAGCTTTAATTAGGTCTGCTTATGTACGCTTTAGTGGTTTGAAGACTACAAAACATGATGTCTTTAACGTTTAAAACATAGAAGGTCATGATTAAAGCAAAACTTGTATTTTTGTTTCATTATGAATTAAAAAGTGTAAAAAAGTTCCCTGTTTTCTAATATTAAGAAAATCTATATCGTAGCTAGGAACACGGTTGACGGCGGCAAATATTTGAACGCCTTCAATCTGAGGGACTACTGGTGGATCAAACGAACTCACAACTCACATTACAGTATTGGATCAAACGACCCGGTCGAATGATCCAAACATTTCATAGTATCATTAACTATGAATCCTTAAGGATTCATAGTCAATGATAGTATTTTAAGTGTTCATAGTTTACAAAGTACAGTCTATTTTATAAGTTTACTCTACAATGCAAAATTGTACTTCTGGTTATTAGTGACTGTACTTTTGGATCAAACGGTTTTGGATCAAACGAACGGCTTTATAGCTGGTGGATGAAACGAGTTTGGATCAAACGATCGGTAATATAAACGGTGGATCAAACAATTTTGGATCATTTAAAGATGGTCCTACTGGTGTGAAGCAAGAAAAAAACTGTGCAGCAAAAGTAAAAAGGGTGCGGAAAAAGTAAGTAGATGTAGCAATAATTAGCAACTTTCTGTGCTATAATCAGTGCAAGAAAGAGCACTTTGTCAGGTGACTATAGGAAAAAATAATTGTGTTTTTCCTGATGTTTACATGGAGACTAATCAATATTTACTTTTGATAACCTCGCCCCAAAATTTTGGTCGCCTAAGCCAAGGGGCGTAGCCCGAGAGGAACTCAGGGATGTGAATATGCCTAAGAAATTCCTAGATATGTGGAACATCTTTGTGCTTAATTTTGGCTGTATCGGTTTTGTATTTTAGTCATGACAGCCAGCACCCAGATGACAGACAGACAGACACCACAATTGTACATTAGTATAGATAGATGTATGTGTAATCATATTTAAAGGGAATTAAAGAATTTAGTCAGCTGTTTCAACTAAGAAAGTTGGTCCAATGATATGCAAAAGCATTAAAAAGTTATAAGATTTACCAACATGGTGCAGGACTATTTTTTTTTTTTTTGCATTTATGAAAACAGCTAATTATGTTTGAACTAAGCAGCAACAAAAAACTGTGATACGCAATGAAAACAGTCAAAGCAGGATTGTTTACAGTTATGTTTTTTTTATTGCATGATTAATTTGTGATATTTTGCGAATTTTTAATAATTTATTTTTATCTATTGTTTTTCACGGTGCACGTAATTTTGGTGTCCTAACATCATTAAACGAATCGTCCACACCTATCCTTTATATCAATTTCACTGTGTCAAATTGCTAAATAAATTAGTGTAAACAAAGAAAAGTAAAAACAATAACAATAAAAACAATAAAAAAATTAATTAAAATTTAAAGACGTAAACAGATCACATAACCATACACTGACAGTGTCAGTACGACCACGTGGTGTCAGTGAAAAGAGGAGCGCAAGGTTCGTATATAGGAAAGGAGGTGTTGCCGATCGATAGCGCGGGGGGAGAGGCCAGCGCGTGCGAGTGCGGGCGTCTATAAAGCCGTTCTAGTGTGCGCGCCGGTGTTTCCGACCGTTTTACATCGCTTCAAAAGTACATACACCATGGCCTTATAATAAACGGATACATACAAATAATATGCTGAACGGTTAAAACATAAAAGCCCCTACATTTTAAGGTATTTTTCAAAATGATAAGTTAGGGATTTCCATGTAAAAATATCTTTCAATTGTGGGTAAAAAAAATGTTGTATTTAATTTTTGAAAATTATGTCAAGTTTTTTGTTGTACAGTATAAAATATATTTTTTAATAATTTTTGCATTTTCCGTTTTTGAGATTTGTGTGTACCTTTATGGCTAAAAATCCGACATTTGACCTTCAATTTTTCTAAAGGTCTAACTAAAAATATAACATCAAAATAAAAAAATAAATAAAATGCTCACATTATTAGAAGCACAGCCTTAAGTGGGGATTGGTAAATAAAAAAACTATAACATTTAAAGCACAATTTATTGGAGCACATCTTACCAGTTTAATGTTAAAGAAGCAGATTTTTTACCAAACTTCACAAAGTGGTTGGGTTTTCAGGATGGGTGAAATGTTTTTTTTTTTTATCACAATTGTAACCAAATTAAGACTAGATTAGCCAGGATCATTTATAAAAATGCCTAAAAGATCATTTGACAGTTTAAGAATCATCTTCACCTTTGCTTTGTGATCTAAGAGGGGTGAGAATGGGGTGTGCAAAGGATAGTGCAAGGTCAAAATCTGTGTCTTTTTAAAAACATTGTTGACACATATCCATACACACACACACGCTCAAAAGTCTAAATAAAGTCTAATTCTCTTTGAATATTACTGGCAACCTCTGTACGTATTATCTTTTAAAATGATCCGTCAATTCAGTAGCCGGGTTTCTGAGCAAACAGCTTGCATTCACCTTTCAAATGCAGTGGAGGTTATTAAGAGTCTTCTTCACCTCTGCGAAAACAATAAAAACATGCCTTGAACGTCCCTCGCTCCGGGTGGAATGTGTGAAGATATAATGTTAAAACTTTTTTTCCATTACATATTAATGTTGGTTCTAGGGCCCTCATATATATCCAAGAAAATCAATGATATAAGTACAAAAAAATCTTAAAGTAACGTAAATTGAGTCACTTGTAGAAACTGATAAAACAAATTATTTTTTTTATTTTCAACCTTTTGAAGTATAAGAGTTCTAATACAACTATTCAACTACATTGATACCAAATTTCAAGAAAAGCTGTTGAAAACGGCCTCCAAAATGGGGGACGAAATTTACATATTTTGTCGGAGGCTACTTCGCTACTAGCCTTTTACAAAACTTGGCTCAGGCGGCAGATGAATCACCGACGTGTCGATTTAGTAGTCGTGTGCTTAAAATGTTTTCAGAATGGCGCGCATAATGACCCAGCGCTACCCGCCCGTCCACAACACATTCCCCCAAGGTCATATCCCCAAAATGGAGGGTGTTGAAGACTCTTAAAGGGATTATTTAATCAACAAAACTTGTTAACTTGTAATTGCATTTATTTTTTATAAAATGAGTAATTTTCTAATAGCCTATTTTTTATTACTTGTGTTGTGATTGACAGAATGTTGCTGTAAGCACAATTGATGAGTCGTTGATTTTCAAGCGCCGTCTGCATCGTACACCTCGCAAAAGAAAAGGATTCTCTTTGGACATAGACACTCTGACGAGACTATACCCTGAGACGGAATGTTCCTGTGAAGGAGCCTGTAACTGTCATCGACCAGTCTCAGCGGACCCTCAGGTCTGGAGGCAAACTTAACTAGGCACTGTTACCTTTGAAAATATTATTTTAGCCACCCAAGTAGCACACATCGTTGGCCCAACGTTGGGAAATGGTCGGCACGGTTGGAAAATGGTTGGCAGAAATTTTAACGATTTGCCAACGTTGGCCCAACGGAAACTGGTATTCGTTGGCCCTACAAAGGAAAGAATCGTTAGGCCTTCGTTGGGCATTCGTTGGGTTTAAGTACAGTATAAAACATTCTAAAACAAATTTTAACAAATTGATTTATTTAAAAGTAAATAAATTTTATGGCAGCAGAATATAAGACAAATATTGTAAAAATTTGGATCAATAATGAATGTAGTCAGATGATGTTGTGATACTAGATACAGTATAATAATAATTATAATTAATTTTTTTTAAATATTCTTTAAGCAAGTTTTTAATGTTATAGAGAAAAGATTAATTAATTATATAACAATCAATTACAGTATAACAGTAGCCTGCTAATCTAATGTTAATTATATAATCTATATTCAAATACCAGTATCCTCTCCAACTACCAGAAAAATAATTCAACTACTTGAGGCCTAAACAGATTAACAGAATCATATTATACTCTAGCATCAACAATATTTAAAGTATTAATTGTGACCATTGCACCTGTCGGCTACTCTTTGACCACTTGAAAACGCCCTTATTCAACAAGCACAGTTAGCTCAGAGGCAAGGCATGAGGCTCACATGTCGGAGGTACCGGTTTCGAGACCCGTCCCGGCCAAAAAAAATTTATTTCGTTTTATTTTGAAAATAAGTTTTTATTAACTATTTAATCAATTTACTCAACTCATAATTATGCTTTGCATACAAAATTGTTATTATTTTGTGTTTTTTATGTTTATGCCCAATGGGATGGTTGGCCCTTCCGCAAAAATTGGTTGGTTGGCCAACCGTAAGACTGAGTGCCAAAACATACCGTTGGCCAACGATCGACAGAAACGTTGGGCCAACGATTTGCCAACGATTTTTGCTACTTGGGCAATAGCATGACAGAAAACTTACCATCATATTCTTCTGAAAAGTGGTTGTGATTTAGTATTTTAAAATATTAACCAGTTTAATAAGTCCTCATGAATAAGGTACAACCAAAATGCCATTTATATGGTGTTTTCACCACACTATGATGTTACATATGTGTTTTACATACGTTAATTAGAGGCTGAAAGTTACGTTTTGCTGGCCATGCCGGCTGTCCTCGTCATTTGGGGACCGAGCAGGTTTTTGCCTCAAAGTCAGCTGCCCGCTTGCATATTAAATAAATACACGAACAGTATCCATAGCATTGCAATAATAGAATTGTTTCATTTTGGTATTTACTCAGGGGAGGTATAGATGATCTTACGATGACATCTGTGGGCTTCTCATTAGCTGAGGGAACACCATTACCGTAACAATACGGTTTGCAACCATCGGCCTCGGTGGTCTAGTGGTTAGCGTGCCGGGCTGATGTGCTGAGAGTCCCGGGTTCGAATCCCGCTAGTGGTACTAACTTTTTGACTAAGATTTTTTCATTATCAGCAAGTTTGGTTGGTTTGGTTCGGTTATGAAAGTTTAATTTTATCATTAAGTCATTATAAAATTTTAATTGACCAATAATTTCTAGTTTTATTTAATGAACAGAATTATTTTTTCTATTAATAAACTTTTTCATATTATATTATTGTCAACAAGTTTGGTTAGTTCGGTTAGGTTATGATAGTAATTTTTTAATAAAAAAATTATAAAATTGAATTTTAGGCATTTATAATTTTAAACCTTCATTCCCAAAATGCTCTCTACTACAGCGCTGTTCACGGAGGAATTTTGAACTAAATGCCTCAATCGTACCTCCCCTAAGTCAGATCCTTTTATTTTCACCGTTGCCTAGCAACTGTTTATTATTATTTTTGCTGATTCCTGAAATTACTTTTTCACATAACCTTAAAGTTTGACTATCAGTGTGCATTAATTATTATTGTGAACAGTGTTGCCACTTTTGGGGATTTTTCGAAGCCATGGGGATTTTTTTGGTGGATTGTGTCTGATGGAGGATTTTTGGAGGATTATTGGGATGTTATCGAATTTATTGGAGAATTGTGATTTTGAGTCAGGAATAAGGTTAATATAGCTAAAAAGGATTTCAGACAAATAAAACCGTGGAATAACAGAATAGATTATGCAAACAGTTTGTTATCAATTGTTCAGACATTTAGTGGGAATATAAAACATGACTCATTTTGTAAGACTATTATAAATGTATGATATAAAACTAAGAATGAGGAGTAGATGAAAGTCAGTGATTAATAGAACAACCTTTAAGTGAGGGGAAATCATTTAAGAAGTAAATCTGAAAATCAGTCCCAATCCTTTGTACCTACTTTTATATAGTACTGTAGTACTTACTACATTTCATATGGAGTGAATAAATGTATGTACGTTAAAATAATAATTATAATCATTGGTACCATGTTACCGCCGGTAGTTAAAAGGGGATTTTTGTAGAGTTTGACGGTTTGGATGGAGGAGGAGTTGGGGATTTTCTATAGATTTTTATGGCTTGGCGGATAGTTGGAGGATTTTTGCTTTAGCTGGGGGTCCTGGGGATAAAGTGGGGATTTTTCCTCGTCAGCACATTTAATATGGAGTGAATAAATAATGTATGTATGTCATAGTGTAATATATTCACGGAGAGTGAATTTTTACCCACACACTATGGCATATAGATATAAGGTATAAATTTGGGATATTTAGTAGTTAAATGGGATTTTTGTAGGATTATTAGGATGGATGGAGGAAAATTGGGGACTTTCTATAGATTTTTATGACTTGGCGGATTATTGGAGGATTTTTGCTTTAGCTGGGGATAAAATGGGGATTTTTTCTTAGTCAGATGGGGAATTTTCACAGGTCCAGGGTGGCAACATTGATTGTGAATAGTAGTAGTGTGGTGAAAATTGAAAAACAGCGTTCCTACAATGGACAAAAAAATGGTTTTCGGCCCTAGGTACAATTTATATATCATACGGTACTGTAATGAGTTTTACTTGAATTGAGTTTACCTACAGAGTACAGTAGACCCTCTCTTAACCGACCTCGCATTAACCAATAATCAGATTATCGGCCCTGCTCACTCATAAAAAATTAAAGTTTGTTTTAACCGACCCTGTTTTGAGGGAAGTTCGGTTTAACCTCCGCTTTTTGGGAATCTCGACATTTCTGCTCTTACGCTCGGCTCAGGTTATAAATAAACATCCTGTCTCGTAACCAAATAGTTGCTTGTATCTTTAATTCCGACAATAAGTTCTGTACTGTATTACAATGGATTTGGAAAGTACCAACTAAAGATATTAAAATAAAAATGTTATTGTCTCATGCCTACGACTATACAGTAATTTATTCCACTGAAAGTATTTGACTTTAATATGTTGTTTGAACCCAGTTCAACCTACAAACTACAAGACCTTCAAGCAAAATAGGTAAATAAATTACCTATTGTATTGTATTTGGCTTTACTGTGTTTGGGTTTATTTATGATTTTTATATTGTCAATACTTAAGAAAAAAAGGAGATTAGTGTAGTTTATGTGGTAAATAATGCATGCACGGCTTCAGAACAGTGATTATATAATTCCAAATTAATAGCACTTCATTTTTAAAAGTTCTTAGTGATTGCCCGTTTTAACCGACCTTGGTCCGGTCCCATTATGGTCGGCTTAAAGGGGGTCTATTGTACTATTATAATGGGTAGTAATAGTGGGTATAGTGGGTGGTATATGTGGGAATAACTAAGGGGTTTTTAGTGTGAAAATCATAAAAATTGCAATACATTTTTATTTACAGCATGTGGACTTCAAACCACTTGGTTCAAAGTTAAAAGTACTATACCAAATTTTAATCAAAATCATACAAGCTGTTTTTTTACCACTATCTGTTATTTTATGGGTAAATCATTATTAAAAATAAAAATTTCAAAGGAATTAAATAGTAGCCCTATATCCAAGGAGATATACTATGGATAAGTATTAGTACTCATACAGAATTTCATTAAAATTGGACGTTAGGTATGCCGAACAGCTCTCAAAACAAAATGTAATGTTTTACAAGCGAGGGTGGATAATCTGATTATCGGTTAATGCGAGGTCGGTTAAGAAGGAGTCTACTGTACAATTTATTGACGGATACTGATTAACATTGTGTTTGTATGTATCAGGTTCGAACACGCTCCACTTGGTCACCGGCGAGTTACACTCTCCACGCTCTTGACATTTACTTTGACAAACTGGAGCGAGGTTCAAGGGCGAGAATGCAAGATGAACAATCACCTCTCAAACTGAGCAAGAATACTGGTCTTGCTCTCAGTATCTCCATGTCTGTTGATAATTTGAGAGAGATTGTTTAAGTAACTTGAGAAAAATCTCTCTGATCATGTATCTTGTTCATGTGTTATCATTACATTATGAATGCTTGTTTTTACCAACCTTGGAGAACTAATCATATTGAACAATTCTGAAAACTAACTGATTAAAAGTACCTGCTAGCAAATATTCATTATAAATAATGTAGACAGGAGAAAGGGAAGGCAAACCATTATTAACATTTGCTATGTTATTTGAATGCTCAATTTGTTGTAAAATCTGAATGTGACAGAATAAAATCGTCGTGTTATGGTATGTGATATTTTAAAATTATATGTTTCTTTATTTATTAGTTTTTGGATGCAATTCTATGTTAATTGTGTTATTAAGAAGTACTACCTTTGTAACAAATGTGTTTATAACTATTCAAATAACTACATAGAAACTAAAATAGAAGCTACATAGAAACGACACTCATATCTATACTTATTTAATACGCAAGCAATTGTAGAAAAAGAAGGATAGCAGCTTGCTTACCTTGAAAGTGTGGGTAGGCCATAGAACAAGAAGAAAAAACACTGTGCACACAATGTTTTGTCCCCTAAGGGACTTTGCCAAGTGTAGAGAAAAGAGTTTATAAATTACAAAATGGCTGCTGTCATGGCTGTTGTCAACTAACTTGACAAAGTCCCTTAGGGGACGAAATATTGTGTGCACAGTGTTTTTTCTACTTGTTCTATGGCCTACCCACACTTTCAAGGTAAGCTAGCTGCTATCCTCCTTTTTCTACAATTTAAAGTCCTGGCCTAGAGCCTTTTCCTTAAACAAAACTAATATGCAAGCTAGTTTTTTGTGACAATTACTCCTCCGAAACCACAAAGCCGATTGACATGTTTTTGGTGTCATTGGAAAGAGCATAACGTGATGTTGTGCAGGAAACTTTCTTTTTAGGGAATCAATTAGAGAGTGAGGCCCTGGGGTCCTTTAAAGTTTTGTATTTCTCCATAAGATTAACATGGGAAACAAACATTGTTATGAAACTCCAGCTGTTGTTAGAAATTAAAAGTGAGAAGAAGAATATAAATTGTAAACAGTCAATAAGTTTGCTAATTTAACAGTTTGCTACAAACAATTACTGACTTGGTTGAAATGAAATATTTACTATTTGAATTTGGGTTGGTGTAAATATATTTGAAAAAATTGAGAGAGCCTGGATAAGTTGATAGCTTAAACTTGTACTAAAAAGAAAACTGAATTAACACTGTGCTGCATTTCTTAGTAATTATTGAAAGAGCTGATTTCCAAACTATGGAAACATAGGAAAGCTATAGAACACCACCAAGGAGAAGAAATAGAAATAATTTTTTTTTTTTTAGAATTTATAATCGTTATAATGGACAGCCTAATGCGGCTATGAGTAAGGCTATTTTAGAAAACACTAAAAAACAAGATCAGCTTTTGAAAAACAATAAGATATTTACAAGAAATGTTGCTGGTTATATCGATCTGTTATGTACATCTTGAGCATTTCCATAATCTTTTGAGTCAAATCTTTTAAAGTCATCAGAAGTTATGACTGTTATACGTTTTAAAATAATGCCTTAAATACTTAGCAATTGCAAAAAAGTAAAAGGTGTATTATTCATAATTCAATGATAAATTGAGTAACCTTAAGAGTCTTCTTCACCCCTGCGAAAAACATTGAAAACATGCCTCGGGCGTCCCTCGCTCCTGATGGTATGTGGAACATTACGTAAAGATATATTGCTAAAACTTTTTTTCCTTACAGATTAATGTTGGTTCTCATACACGATATATAAAAAAATCAATAGTATAAGTACAAAAAAATCTTAAAAGTAACGTAAATTCAGTTAATTTTAAAGTTCAATAAAACTATTTTTTGTTTAATTTTCAATTTTTTGAGGTATAAGGGCCGTAGTATAACTATTCAACTACATTGTTACAAAGTTTCAACAAAATCTGCTGGAAAACAGCGTCCAAAACGGGGGACGAAATTAACATGTTTTGTCCCAAACGCCGGTCTGCCGAAGGGAGGCTACTGCACTACTAGCCTTTTACAAAACTTGGCTCAGACGGCAGATGAGTCACTGAAGCGTCGCAACCTGTCACTGTCCACAGGACTCTGATCTAACTAACTGCTACACATTACATTTTATGCAACTTGGTACAACAATTAAATGGGCAAACTCTGTAGAGGCAAGGCATTTTTGGCGATTTTGCAGACATATTTTCGAAAATTCATAAGAACTAAACCAACAGAGCAAAACAATTGAACCGTATACTTGAACTGTTCGTAATAACATAAAGAATTTAAAATTTGCAACCGAATAAATATTCAGAACAGTTTTGTACTGACATTTGAAAGAAAATTTTTTTTTTATTTTGATTTAAGTTAAGCTTTTGCATGATCCAAAAAATTCCCTATGTGAAATTGAAGATATACAAAATGTTTGGAACGAATTTCCCTAAATATAAATGTAAAAAGATTCAAATTACCATTTTGTTTTAGAAAGTTATTACCTAAAAACAAAAAAATGGCATATCTCGATTTTGCGCTGTAAAATTCAAACAAAGCCCAAATAAATATCTTCTTATGAAATGTGTAAAAGTAAATAATATTTTTGTAAAGGCAATAACATTTTGAGATAAAATGAGGTACAGTAAGAGTTGTTCATGGAAAATTATCATTAAAATAAACATTTCATGAATTTCATAAATCTTTGTATTTTTCTAGAAAACATTTTCTACTCAAACATGTATATTACTTTTCAACGTTTGTTCGCTATGAGGAACTGTTTAAAAAACGGGCTAAACGTAATGTCCCAAACCTCAAATTTAGTAAGTATATGCACAAGAAATAATAACAAACTTAATATGTACAAATTTACGACTAATAAATATGAATCAAATTGATAAAGTCAAAAGTCACAATCAAACCCGTAATATTCGTTGTTGGTAAACAGTTTACAAAAACCGGCTAATATTAGTGTCTCAAGTTTCTAAAAGGAATGTCACATTTCAGTAAAGGCACGATAAATAATATTTAAACTAAACACTTACAAATTTACAACTTTTATTAACGATGCAAACTGATAAATTAAAATCACAGAAAAACTCGATTTGTTAGTTATTGGTCAACAGAGACTGAGGTTCGTTAGTTCGGCTAAGTATTCAGAAAGTCGAAAAATAACAGCTGATAACTTCAGCACCAGTGGTGCAATAGAAAATAATTCAGTGACAAAAAATGAAAAAAATTTCATGCACTTACGAAGGAGATACATTATTATATGGATAATTATATATTTCAGTGAATAAAACGTGTTTTACGACTGCAACTATTTACAATAGTCGCTCTGCCACTTCACGAACACGTAAAAATTGATTGATTACCGCGATACTATCGCTACGGTATCGCATTCGTCTCGGTATCGCGTATCGTGGTTCGCTCTGGTTTGTGCGGCTCCATAAGCCACCAGGGTGTCGCACGGACCGGATGCATTGCACGACGTCCAAGTGTCACGACGTCCAATAATATTTATTCAGTGCCACGACGTCCAAAACATAATTTTTGAGTTGTTGCACGACGTCCAAGTGCCACGACGTCCAAAAGTACAGTAACTACCAAAAATATAGTCTTTCTACAAGCTTTGGACGTCGTGACACTTGGACGTCGTGAAACAGCGCACTATAGAATTGTAAAAAAGTTACATTTGCGGGAGTGTTGCACGACGTCCAAAGTCGCTGCCAGTTGCACGACGTCCAAGTGCCACGACGTCCAATAAATATTTGTCTGTTGCACGACGTCCAATATAGCTCAGCGCTGTTGCACGACGTCCAAGCTCCTTCATGATGACCGGTTACGATGACCGGCTACTTGCCGAACAGTGTTCTCTCGTGTAAAATGCTTATGGAACCTTTATTAGTTATATATACATGGGTATATGTTCTTGTTCAGAAATATATATACTATGAATATTTGTACCATTAATTGAAACATCATAAAGTAAAAAAAAAAAACATTAAAAGAAAAAATAAACAAGGCAACAGTTGGAAAACTATAAGGTTTACATAGTTTGAAAAATGATGATGACATTTTGTTAACAACCGATAAACTTCATTATGTTTGGAGTAAGCTTTTAATTACTTATTTTTTCAAGACTAGACGAATGTACATTGATCAACATGATCTTTGAAAACTATTTTTTATACCCTCATTTTAATTTTTACTAGTATAAAGAATAGAATGCCTTTTTCGAACTGTTTTTTAGGCTTCAATTAAATGTTCTTATGTCGCAAATATGTTTATTAATAGTATTCACTTAACATTGACTTAATTTTATTTCAATAAATTTTGTGTTTGTGTTTTGCTACACCATTGCAACAAAAAAAACCCAAAAATTTAAATTGATTTAATTTAAATTGCAACCAATGAGAATTTCATATAAATAAGTGGTACACAGGGTTCTTTTGTTTAAAATACAACGCACATGAATTGAAAATGTTATAGGTTTTAATAGTAGGTACTGTAGCAAATCGAATATCAATAAAGTTAACTTATAACAATAAATTTACATATTCCTCGATTATAATTGAATGTGTTTACGAAGGAACACCACAGCCTCAAAATTCAACATTACAGTATATTTACTCAAGATTTATTGTTTTCATATAGCACAGTTGATGTTGCCAACTAGCGCGGGAGCGGAAGTCCTGATAAAGGCTGGTTCTCGGAAAAGTAATAATCTTGTAGTTTGAATGAAACATTTTTTTTTATTTTGTACAGGATTCATGGGATCCTCAGCATAAAGTACAAACCACATACAAACTGCAAAATGTGTGTCGAAGGCCTGATTAGACAGACCTTCCGAGATTTAGACCTTCAGCAACTGATCCGTTTTTTACCTTCCTTTAATTTATTCTTTTTCATGTTGTGCTTCATGTAACATACATAGACTAGAGGGCCGCTCATGCCCTTGACAAATAAATTAACATTTTCGCACAAATACAAATCAATATCGTCATTAGACAAGAATTAAGAAATAAAATTTATAAACAAAACCTACCACGGCATATTCTTGAACAAGGATGCCTACAAACCTACGATAAGCATGTTTGTTATTATTATACTTAACCTACAAATGCTATGACTTAGGGCATACCTGCTTTCCTAGATAAAATATCCGAACTAATTGCGAGTGCAACGAGAACTTAGAAAAAGACTAGTAAGAATTTACAACTGTGAATTTCTCAGAATTGATTGACAGTTCAGACGAACCTATGGCCACTGACTACGGAA